AGCGAAAGAACAAGGTAGTGAGCAAGATATAGATGCATCAGAAGAAATTATTTATAAAATTGATATACCTGCTAACAGATATGATCTCTTATGCTTGGAAAGTTTAAGTATTGGACTACTCGTATTCTTAAACAAGTAAGTGTGTAATTTACATATTCTAATATTTGACACAAAGACAATTTCTTCAATTTTATTTTTTGTTGTCAACCTACCTATATATATATATATATATATATATATATATAAAAACCTATCTTATTTTTTTCCTTAATAGAATATCCATGCCATATTATAAGGCAATAAAGCCTAAGAAAGGACTGGAAAAGATCGTGATGAGTAAAGAAGTATGTGTCTAGAAAATATTATAAAGGAGGCTATATAACTATCTTTACATATTTCAAATATGTTTTTTCTTATGATATTAGGCTATCATATTATATTGTGTTTCAGTGCTTAAAAATAAGAGGTCACATAGTTGCCGCAGTGTTGCGTGATATTACTTTGACGCAAGATTCTTATAATAGCTTCATTGATCTTCAAGATAAACTTCATCAAAATATAGGAAGAAAGCGAACTTTGGTCTCTGTCGGTACTCATGATTTAGACACAATTAAAGGCCCATTTTTATATGATGCCAGACCACCATCAGAAATACGCTTCAAACCACTGAATCAAGAAAAAGAATATACTGGGGAAGAAATTATGCAATTATATGCAGTAAGTACATTTTGTTCCTATCAATGTTAGATAATATGTAACAATATGTTCATAAAGATATTTCGGTAGAAAAAAATATTGAGCTAAATTTACTGGGCGTATATATGCATCCTTCGTGAATGAGTGTCAATTTTCTTAGAATGTACTTATATATTCTTCGCAGCTAAAAGATTAATTTAATATTATTTAATATTATGTGTACGTATATGTGTAGATATTATTATATATCATACGTATATTTAATATTAAGTAATTTTACACAATTTTATATATAATATTTTCAGACACATAGCCAACTCAAACAATACTTACCCATTATTAAAGACAGTCCCGTTTATCCAATGGTATATGACAGTAATGGAGTTGTGTTATCTCTTCCTCCTATCATCAATGGAGATCATTCGAAGATCACACTCAATACGAGAAATATCTTTATTGAGTGCACTGCCACTGATCTCACAAAGGTATCCAGAGATATACGTTATTATTTTATTAAAATATTATTTATCCAAGTATTTTTATTTACTAGGGATATTTATGATATATCTTGATTTAAAAAATAGTAAAATATATATATACAGTTACACGTACAGCAAATATATATATATATACTTAAAATATTATACATGTTACAAAAAATCCGTAGGCGAGAATAGTACTGGACACTATAGTCTGTGCTTTCAGTCAGTATTGCAGCACAAGAAATACCGTTGAAATTGTCGAAGTAGTGTATCCCGATAAGCAAACTTTCTATTATCCGGACTTGAAATATCGCATGGAAGAAGTCGAGTGTGATAAAGCGACCAATTATATTGGTGTTAAGTAAGTTATACTTTTTTCATTACGCATGTTAGTAGTCGTAATCGTAAACGATAAGAAGATAATTACTTAGATATTTTATCGTGCGATAGAAACAAATGTAATATGTTTTTGGTATAATGTGCGTAGACAGACACCAGAACAGGTTGCAGCATTATTGTCAAAGATGTCCCTGAAGTCTGCCATAAAGGATAATGGTAAATTGAAAGTGGAGATACCACCCACGAGACACGATGTAATACATCATTGTGACATTTACGAAGACATTGCCATCGCTTATGGATACAACGAGATCCAGAAAACTATACCGCACATGTCGACCATCGCCGCAGAGGTAAATATAAAGTATACAAAGTTATGCCTTGAATAAATCTTTCGTGTAATATGATGCTAGGTCCGCGAAAGAATTCGCTGTATGTTAAGTTACTCAACGATAAACCTGGGATGGTAAGAGTAAAACTGTTACTTTCTTGCTTGGATGGTTTTAAACAGGGTCTATAATGAGAATTTAAGACGTAAGATTTAAGAAATTGACCAATCGTAATTGATTTTTCTTCTATAATTCGACTGTGATTGGCCAATCTCTTAAGTCTTACGCCTTAAATTCTCATTGTAGACTTCGCTTTAGTCACTTTCTGGATTTGACAAAAAAAATGTCACTTTTAGTTACTATTTTGCGGTCACTTTTTGTCACCTTTCTGCCAAGAAGAAGTCACCATCTCCCTTTTGTTCTGGTGACGGCGCTGAAGTCGCAGTCGTTTGAGTCGATCCATTTCCAATTCCAGCGACAGGATCGATCGTAATCGATCGTAATCGCTGGAATTGAAAGTGACTTGAACGACTCCGACTTCGGTGTTGCCAGCGATCACATTATAGATCTAGCTTGACTGTAATTCGACATATTGACATACGACTTGTATGTTTCTTTTTTGAATGATAGTTTCCACTCAACAAACTCACTGACCAAATACGTCTAGAATTGGCACAGGCTGGATTCACAGAAGCATTAACTTTTTCTTTGGTACGTATTAAAAAATTTGTCGCTTATTAAGAAGCGAAATACAGTATGAAAATATAATATAAGTATAAAAATGTAGTATAAGTATGAAGATCATCCTACGAAAGGATATCTTTATAAAATCGATAGTGTGGTCTGTAGAAAAATTCAAACATTGGGCGTTTTCGAGTCGCTCAGGTGTACATAGTCCCTTTAATAAATTTTTATGTCTCCTATAAAGTGCACATCAATGATGTTTCAGTGTTCGCGTGAAGATTTAGCCGATAAATTGGGTCACAAAATCGAAAATATACCGGCAGTACACATATCTAATCCAAAAACGTTGGAGTTCCAGGTAAACTAATCGATACAATCAGTTACTTTTTGCCATCTTCTCTGCCAAGAAGCAGCCGCTTTTTCATTTTTTCTTTGTTCCGGTGACTGGATGATAGCGCTGTTATATGGATCACTTCATTGGCTGTAAAGCATTTGAAGATCAATTTGAGATGATCTTAAATCTAACGTCTGACTATGAATTACCGTCTACAGATATTTGGATAAGCGTGTATTTTGATCCCGTAGGTTGTGCGTACGTCACTTTTACCGGGATTGCTTAAAACGATATGCTCAAATAGGAAAATGCCGCTGCCTCATAAAATATTTGAAGTATCCGACGTGGTACTGCGGGACGATACAGCGGAAGTCGGCGCGTACAACAATCGTCGTTTATGCGCGGTATACGCTAACAAGTCAGCCGGTTTTGAGATAATTCACGGATTAGTCGACAGAGTGTTGACATTACTTCAAGTACCGTGGAGTGCTGATAAAAATGAGAGTGGATATTATCTGCGTGCAGCTGACGGTAAGATATGTCGTTTTTCTCGACACTTCAATTTTGATCAAAGTTTTTATCAAATAAACGCAGAAAAGTACAATTTATAAACGGCAGGATTGAAGAATATATCATTGATTTTACAGATCCGACATACTTCCCTCAGCGATGTGCAGAAATTGTTTGTTACGGCGAAGTGATAGGAAAACTGGGTGTCCTGCATCCTGACGTAGTTTCGAAGTTCGAACTAAATATTCCGTGTTCCTCAATGGAAATGGATATCGAACGATTTTTGTAGTGTTGGAGATATTCGTTAAACAACACATTACGTGTATTTTTCCCTTCCATATTTTTGGAAACAAAAATTTAAATTATTATACTTCACAAGTTATATTTATTTCGTATTTCTAAGAAAACCTGCAGCATGTTATTTAAAGAAATAAATTTTCCTATTTACACGTATGTATGTTGTTGCGCTCACTCGCGTGTGGTAAACCCGAAACAACTGTTGACGATGTTTTCAAAACACTGAAAAAAATGGAAGGAAAATGATACGGACTATTGATATATCCAACGAATTGTACAAATGCACGAAAAGTTGAAGATACAGCGCCCGGCATTCTATTATGATAAAGAAGGATATATCTGGAATATGTGTTTCCTTTTCTATGAATGAGATTCTCCATTCTTTCATAGCTCGCTACTATAGGACTCAATGGCCACGTTCAGCAGAATGTGGCCAATGACTAAAAAAGTTGATTGGATATTCAAGTAAATTGCGCGAAATGTTTGAATTGCAAACTAAATTTTACGTTACTTTTTTTTAACTATTTATTTGTTTCTATCTTTTTCATCGAAGCACAAATATACATATCAACAAGGTACTAAAATTGAAATCCATTGCACTGCTGGAAGTATTTTTCATAGTTTAAAAAAAAAAGGTATACCAGCTATTGATACTATTTCTTGTTAAAAAATTTGCTCATTGTCTTATTTTTAAGAAACAGTGATTATTTTTAATAGGTACCTTCTAACTTATTCTAAAAGTGCGTTGTTAAATGCGTGTCTTAAATACGTTGTTTTCGGTAGGAACGTGTACATTCAATACACATATAAATCAGTCATGAGAAAGAGAGACAGAGAAGAGCGGGAGAAATAATAAATTATATTATACAATCTTGACTTTTTTAAGGTACTGTACAAATTTGTTAAATTATATTTTATCGGATGCACGTACATCTCTCAACGAGAACAGCTCTCAGATGGTTCTAGTGAAGTTTGAATTGCTGTAAGTGTGATTGAGCAAATGTTCAGACTCCACTTGAGTTGTCATCCTTTCCTCGTTGCCAGAGTCCCACTTTGAATTGTAATTCAATGTTATTTCCTTTTTGGGCCTCAACATGTGTCTGATATTGCCGAAGTGCACATCCATTTCTTTGAAGGCGTTCAACAGGAATATCGCGACTATGACGATGAGGAAACCGCAGGAAGCACCGAGAGTATCCTCCACGCTCATTTTCTCCCATTCCCGAAATAAAAGTGCGGAAGCTATTATCACGAGGGTCGTAAAGAAAACGTAGTAGATTGGCGTAACGATCGACGTGTCGAACAAATCCAGCGATTTGTTCAGATAATTCATCTGCACCATGATGCAGAGAATGACACTGAATATGAAGATCCACGTCAGCCAGTTGACAAATGCGTTCTCTTTGCCAGAGATAGTCTCTTTCAGCGCTAAACCCAGACCCTTACAGCTCATGACGGTCAGTGAGCCGACGGACGAGCACAGGCAGATGTATACCAAAATATTTTGCTTGCCGTATGCGGGACCGAAGTGAAATACAATTGACAGGGTGCATATTATTACGATAAGAACGTACGACACGTATGCCGGTTCCCTTATTTTGACGATCAATTCGCTCAAGCTGTTGACTTCTTCCTCTTTGGGAGAATGCAATATTATTATGGTAGAACCTAAGATGCACAGTAAACAACCTATCTGAAAGATAAATTATGCATATTAATATTACAAATTACATCAGCAAGACGTTGTATCATTTATTCTTGAAGATATCTCTTACCTTTCCTAATAGGTTCAATCTCTCATTGAGGTACTTGGACGCTAATACCGCTGATACTAGAACACTCAGTGCACCCAGTGGCGTTACAAGCGACGCTGGCGCAAACGCGTATGCGATAAAATTTGCCGCCTCTCCTATACCCACTATAATATTTATTTTAAATAGCATTTTTGCTTTCAAACCATCGTAACGATACAAAAACAAAGAACATCATTGGAGAAAGTCTTTCGTGATTTATACATACTGGACAACAGTCCGGCCCACCACATCCAGTCTTTCAAGTAGCCAAAACCGCCAGATGATGCGCGTACCCCATACCTTTGGAGTTGAATCAGAGCTTTCTTCTTTATGATAAAACTGGCACCTAAATTGGAACGAGGGAATTATTGAACATTGTCCGCTATGGTATTGCTTAAATTTATCTGGTCTCTTTATTAAAGCAATATAGTTAATTCTATCGTTACACAGTCGTGAGAAATTAATTGTTTATAATTTTCAATGTGCCAATTCACCACTAACCTATAAAACCACTAGAACTAATCGCTAATCCTAGACCAATGTAAAAACTGGTTGTATCATAATACATGTCGCTGTTTGCAATTTCTGTTGTTGAACTCATGCTGCACCGTCGGATTCACTTAATTATACGTCCAGTCGATCACATGGGAGCAATTATGAATATTATTACGGCGTCTTTCACCGAACTCCGATTAAACTAATCGATAAATAACCCGCAGAATTGTCAGTCACCAATTTCTAACTACGTAATTTGTTGTTCAATACTAACTAAAAAAAAATAAAATCTATAATTTCCCTCTATCTGAATCAGCGAAATACAGCATGTAATATCCGATTGATAATCAATGAAAATCATCGATAGATTATTCCGAATTCGGTGACTCAGGTTTACTTATCTTAAACTATTGGAAGATTTTGTCAAGAAATACCGTCAGATGTCGTCGGGCGATTCGGGTTTTTTTGCCGTAACCGCGCTATTGTGGATTCAGTTACTGCCATATCGGCATTACCGACCGTGCACGACGTTTGGTCCCTACGACGATGAGAGGCGCTGAATTCGGGGTGATCACGTGATCACCGCTGAACTATAGTAAAGCCCTATAACGCAATGATAAAACATAGGCGATAGATTTCTAATTTTATCGGAATGTGTCATTCTCCGTTCCTCTTAAATCGTGTACGAATTAATTTGACTGGGACTGAAATAACTCTCTGTGTTTCACCGGAGTAGAGACGATGGAAGATTTGGATTGGTTGAACGGGTGGCGCAACGTTGTCGCGTCGGTTATCGTCGGCTGTCAAGGTAAATGATTACAAACGACAGGTACCGTGAGAATTCCAATTTTATATTTCGGACGAAGTATCGGACTTGTATGTGCATTCAAAGATGTAAGTTCATTGTAGTACGCGTGAAGTATCTTCATGCGGGCTCCCGTCGTGGAGCCAGAAAAAGTATCCAAAAGAACAATTATGATACATATACGCGTAACGTAACATATTATCTATATGTATGTATATATATAATCCTGCAAACAGGAAACATAAATACAAGAGAGAGAAGAACCACTTTTTTTGTCTCATAATAATACAACGTTATTCGGATTTCACGTTTACAATCCTATTTACACTCGGCGGATGGAAATGGCATTTTAACGGTTTCGGGTTGGTCCAAGGATGTGCGTTCTTTATTCATTATGGTAACAATGACACCTCAGTCTTCTCGTAAGATGAGCGGACGAACTCTCGTCTTGTGTATTGTGTGGGACTCGTTGTAGTACCGTACTTTTGTTGGTCGTCGGATATCGATCTGTACAACTCATCGTTACGAAGACTCGTGCATTCTACCGTGCATAAACTAAACAGAGTTTACGCGACTGTAGACCGCTGTCAAATCCACTAGTGAGTTATGCTAACGATAATAATAATAATAATAATAAAATAGATAACGGTAGTGCTAGTAGTAGTAGTAGTAATAATAATAACAATAATAACGGTAGTAATTGTAGTAATAAAAATAGTAATAACAATAGCGATAATTAGATGGATCATTAGATGGACAGTGTGTTTCTGTATGCCATGTGTGTACGTGTGTACGCGTGCACGTGTGTGTGTAGTAATAATAATGATTATGTGAATGAGGTGATAATATAATATACGTGATAATAATTCTACTAACGAGACAGTAACAATCGACAGAAAAATGAGAAGACAATGGTCAGTGGTTATTGGAGAAAAAGAAGATCGTGGCGGGAAGATATTCGTCGATGCCGACGTGTGACATATTAAACGCTAAGGCTCGTCTACAATATGATCGCAAGGTCGTACAGTTGCAGCCGGTTCAATTCCAGCGACTACGACCAAATTGTTGGTAAAATACGAGTGCACGATCCTGCAATCGCATTGTAAATCCCGCTTAAGACTTCACAGTTCCTCACTGCGGCTGTTCGGTGACGTAAGAAGTGAGAAATCGCATGCCGAAGTATATTATGGTGTACGTCGAGACAAAACAACCCAGTCAGCCAGATCTGTCAGAGCAAATCTTGTCAAATGCTTGCTACAATTTTGTTTACAAATTTTCTTAGCAAAATGGTCAACAGGTTGGATAATCTGTTAGATCAGACTTTGTTGACAGACTGCCAGCAGAAATAGGACAAAACTTGCCAAGAACGTAAGTTATGTGTCACAGTAATTTTCGGCTACTTATTGATTGTTGAGGTCAAAGTAAAGCGGACATTTTTACGAGTATGCCGAATCGGTCATGAGTGTCATTTTGTGCATATATTATATTTTTTTCATCTCTATATACACCGTGATATATTTGGCTGTTTCTCGCTTCCGACGTCATCAAACAAGGAGACAGTCACAGCGAGGACCCAGGAGTCTTATAAAAGTCAGCATCGGTTTAGGGTGGTGCCAAAGTATAATGCCGAGATATAAGCGGATTCCAAGTATTTCAACAAAACATCATCGTGTTAATATTACTCGATCACCACGTTCTGCAAGACAGAAGAAAAACTGTTAAACAATGTCACCGATCGCGATTAATTTCTAGAAAGCCGTATGTGTGTGTGTGTGTTTTTTTCCTTCTTTTTAGATCATCTCGTTGCTCACGGTACTCGGAAGATGAAATTCTGGAAGCTTGTTCTGTGCGAACAAATGCGCGAGTCAATCTCGATTTGTTTTTCTCGGCCCTGAAGTACGGCCGTAAGATTCTCAGTGTTCGTGCACGTTATCTCCGTCTCTCTTTTGCGCGGCGTATATATCTTAGCGTTTGACAGCGGTCCGGGCGCGTTTCTTTGCAGGCAGACAGGCAGGCAGGCAGGTCGCTCGCTATATTTTTCCTTTCTAGTAATAGTAATAATAGTCATCGTTACGTCATCCTCATCGTAACAGCGAAGAGCGCGTACGTACGAGTTGTTCGTTCCAGACGAACTTGATTCGCCAAATCGTCCTGGGGGAATCGGAGTATCAAACGAAGTATCGAGCGATGCACACGCGCGCGCGCGCACGCACGCGGATTCACGAGTCCTGTCTTTTTTTACATTCTCTCGTCTCACTTCTTCCCGTGGTGGCCGCGTATTCACGCTTGCTTGGGATGCGCGACGGTCGCGGCCGGCTCCGCGCGGAAGCACGACAGGAGGAAACCGGTGTACATAAGGAAAAGGATAGCTATGGCGATCAGCATGTACATATAAATGTTGAGCTCCGGCTGCCGGTATCGGTTCTTGCGCAGCCACTCGAGAACTTCCTGTTCCTTGTGCAGGTCACCTACGGGGGATGGAGGTTAGAACGAACATTACGCGGGGGAAAATAATTTCGAGAGAGACGGCCAGTTTTATGCTGTCGTGGCGAATAAATGAATGTAAGGAACGTTTCTTAAATAACCCACACGCAGGAAAATATATTCGATGACATAATCAGATATCTCTTTATGCCTGCAATTTTAAGTTGTATCTAAGATATCTTATTATCAGATATTATCTGCAGGATACCATTACTCAATATCGCATTTTTTCTTTGAAAAGGAGAGATAAATATCTCAACATTTGAAGAAATGTTGAGATATCTACTAAGAGATACTTTCAGATATATCCGTGATATCCTACCCATCAGATGTTTGGATATTCAGATATTTTCCAGGTATCTCTGTGATATATTTTGTCGCGTGGGAATATACGGTATTTCGGGAGTTAATTTTTGAAGTCATTTTGTAAAGAAAAGTTCACGAGCCTTGGTAAAAATTGAACATCGTGGAGATATCTAGCCACAAGGAAGTAAATTTGTGTCTAACGTCGCTACCAGTAATGTAGCGTTCACTTCTCCTAGTGGCTATGTAATGGCTAGATAAATAAGTTAGCTGATGGTTGAACAAAAGAAATTACAGTTACGAGATGAAAAATCGTAATTAATCGCCGAGCAATAACGCAACGTTTACTTATGCTTCTTAAAAATTGTCCTCATGATATTCAATCAATTAAAGAGAATAAAACGAGTCCAAAAATCATCTTAAATACCGGATGGTATTTAAGAAACACCCTGCATATTTATTTATCTGCTGTGACAGCACAAAAATTTACTATTTCTCTAAATTATTTTTCTTCGTACACGAGGCCCCGCAATGTTTCCCGGATTCCACGGATTCTTTCTCACCTCTGTAGATGCTTGGGAATCTTTTGCGAAAATAGACAATGGCGGGCAGCTTGATGACTCCCCATTTTCGAGCGTATCTTGGATCCGCCATTTTGACGAACGTAATATCTAAATTGTCGGTCTCGTCGTCGATCTGTTCTAGTTTCTCATTCACCTCGTCGCTCTCCGGGTTGTCGAATTCGTCTGGATATGCGAAAAAATGGTTTCGGGCAAAACTAATGTTTACATTCGTATCGGTTAATCGGACGGTACATAATTGCATATCTGAACTGTGCTAGCATGCAAACGTATGAATGTAAACGTTAATTTCCTTTTCTTTTGCTCAAAATCGTTTTCTTTTTTGTTTCATTTCTTTCATTATTATTTCACGAAGATACTACTTTAGCTCAATGTTGGTGCGTATAATTTAACACAATTAAAAAACTGCAAATATCGGAAGCTGAAATGCTGACAAAAATCGTTTTTTTTTTTCATTTTTTCACGCGTTTTTCGTATTATATGTTTATAATTCGAGCACAATATAGCAAAAATCAGCATAGCTGTCAAAATAAGTTAATTCGAAAAATGGGGGAGGGGCTAATTGCGTCCAGGCCAAATGTTTACTTACAAAAGAAAACCGCGAGGAACTCGTTCTCGTCCAACAGTTTGTCCAGCATCTTTCTGTTGACTTCCTCGATCTCATTCTTGATTTCAAACACGTCCTGTGAGGTGAGCCATTGCAGAATCTTGTCTTCCTGCGTGAGATCGCCGTCGTATAGGAGCGGTGTTTTCTTCCGGAAGTACACGAGGGATGGCACGTTGAGGATGCCGTACTTCTCGGCCGCCTCTGGGCTGTCGATTTTCACGAAGTCGATGCCGAAGAGATCAGCCTCGCCGTCGATCTTCTCTAATGCTTCCATGATTTCGTGACATTCTGGACAGTCTTCGTCGTCTGAACGTAATAGAAAGGATGTAGGAAAGACAAGTTGGCGTAACAAGTTGGCTCGAGATCATGTTGGCCATATGTTTCGTTCATGTTTTGTTGGATGCATTCAGTATTAACACCGTTCATGAAGCGTTCTGTGAACCTTCGGATTCGATTGGTTTGTACTTGTAGATTTTGAGCAAATCTTAAAATACGCACGAATCAAATCCAAGAACTCATTAACAAGGAAACACCGCGAACCCGAATTCCTCGATTTGAGTAAATTTTTGTAGATGTGGATGGTAGAGCGACTCAAGTTATGAATAATAGCTACTCGTGTCCTGTTGCTTTTTAAAAGTATGATTTTCAACTTCAAATTCAAGGCAGTGTTTCCATTTTATGACATATAACTCTTACACGATGAGAGACAGAAAAAAATATTTACAATCATTGTTTAATGGCAAATTTAAAAAATTTACAAAATAATATAAACAGAAATTTAAGAGAAACTTTTTTTAAGAAATAATTTCTACCCGGTAAACAATTTTTTATATGTAATCATATATAACTGTACGAAATACCATATAGAAATATGTAAATATATATTGCATAATAATTTACTAGTCAGTTAAAAGTTAATAACTTTAACTCAACTTATATACAGAGTGGTCCATTTCAATCGAACATCTTAAAGATTTCATTTGTTTTTGCCGGTGCAAAAAATGTTTAAGGAAAAAGTTGCACTGTTCGAGAGAGCAATTATTAATTATTAATTGTGAGGGCAACAATGAAAATGGGATTACAAAACGTTTCTTTTCGAGTATAGATATTTTTCTTATGTTCTAAAAGAAATATTTTCTCTCTTTTCCACGCTGTTGTTCTCATTATAAATATTTGGACGAAACTCATGGCTAACATGACTCGGTTGACTTTACATATCTGTTGTAATATATAGGGTGTCTGGAAAGTTTTGAAAGTTTTATCCTACATACGTTATGTCAGAACTTTCCGGACACCTTATATAATATAGAATCAGAGCTCGGCAGGAATTGCATATTTCGGTTGATTCCACTTAGCGCCATTTTCCTTACTTCATCGCCCGATTTTCGGGGTCTTTTATAGACGAGAGCAGGAACATCGGCTTGCATATTGCATACAGCCGTACAAGACGAGGTCAACTTTACCACATGGAAATGTATTGGAATCCCATGTTCACGAGCCATACGAGTCATATGATACATACATTCTTGAATATCGAGCGATATTTCGGCTAAACGCGAGCCAATGAGGTAAAAGGAATCGCGCCGGGCGAAGTCAGCTAAAAATCTCGGCCGAGATGTGCAATTCTTGCCGAGCTTTAATACAGATGTTTCTGTTCCGAGGCTTCATCGATCGTCATTTGATTACATACAGAAGAAAACAGCTAGGAAGGGAGACTCGTCTAGGAGTCTCTCTAACATCCTGTCGTTGACGGATTCTATCTCATCGGCGAGTTCGCGATTGTCGTCATCGATCAGCCACTCGAGGACAGATTCTTCGTTCTGGAGATCTCCTACGTGCGTAACATTCCTGAATTCTCGTTATTCTTTATGAGCTGGAGAAAAACATGATATATATACAGTGTAGGAGGCAAACCTTCGAAAAGAAGAGGGTTGCCGTTGCGGAAATAAACGAGCGCCGGGAATGTCTTGATCGAGTACCGCTTCGCCAGCTGCGCATCTTGGATCTTCACCATGTGTATCCCGAATACGTCGCATTCGTCGTCGATTCTCTCCAGGCCCTCCAGGATCTCGTCGCATATGTGACAGTTTTGTTTATCTACGACGAAGTCGCATCGACGTGTGAAAGATTTATCCAGACAAACTTGTACAATTTGTTCTTACTGAACGTGTGGTAAAAAGGTCAATGTTCACTGAAGTTTGATTGAAAAACCGAGCCGAACGTTTCAACTGACGTCATATGTTAAAAATCACTGAATGAGGGAAGATCTTGTTAGTATAGAGATCAATTAGCTTACTGAAGTAGACCGCTAAATATTGAGTCTCTTCGACGGATGTTTCCAGCATCACTCTTGTGATCAGTTCGATCCGATCTTCCGTTCTCTGGGTAATCAGCCATTGCAACACTTCCTCTTCTACGGAGAGATCACCTGCGAACGAACGATCGTGAGTGAGATAAAACGTCGTCGAGGAAGTCTGCTTCTAGTCTTCCTCAATGACGCCGAAATTCCGGACCTTCGAACACATTCGGCACTTGTTTCTCGAAATAGACCAGCACCGGAAGATCGATCACTCCGTAATCCTCGGCTACCTTGAAGTCCTGTGAAAAAAACGCATAATGAAGGTGTTTTTACGATGTCAGATAAACAGGAATGGAGGAACAATAGAAAACCGAGTTTTAATGCTTGCACTGAGAAAAAAGTGGGGGAGTAAAAAAAATTTCGATTAAACGGATAAAATTGATCGGACGGATGAAGTGAAGTATCGTGCCGCTTACTTGCGTCTTCACGAACGTGATGCCGTGACGGTCGCAATCGTCGTCGATGTTTTCCAGTTCCTCGAGTATCGCCACGCATTGCGCGCAATCGTCGGGATCTGAAGACAGACGCTTCGTTATTACGCAAATTTCCCTCGAATGCGCAACGATCTCGTGGTATCTACTAGTATTCACAACGATAAAGGCGATTGTATTCTCTAATTGGTTCTCTAACATAAGGTGCACACATCGATGTCGCTGATGCGATTTGGTCTACTCGGCATGAGGGAGGAATCTGCTAAATATACAAGGCGAGAGTATATAGGGGCCGGCACGTGATCTATTCAGCGTAAATGGCTACAGAGAGGATCGAACGATCGAGCTACGAATCACGCGTGACGTTTTTTTCGAGTCACACCAGCGATGCGATTAGAGCGTCTCTCTACCTCGCCGACGGGACGAGCGAGAGAATGTTGCGCATGGTTTTGGTCGGGATCTGCAGTAGGGCTACAATATTCGTCCGGATCTAACATTATCCGGATACCCGGATTATCGGATAAATCGTGACGCTTCGAATCTAGAAAAAAGACTATAGCGCTTTCGCATTTCGCTTCCGGATCTTAGTTCCGGATATGTGTTATATTATAGATTTGTTCGGAATCGATTCCAATCGGAGCCTCCAAATTATTCTCTAGATTTTCTCTTGTATTTTATAGGGAATAATTGAGCGATTCCAATCGGAATATATTCCGAAAAAGTCCATAATATATACCTAGATCCGTGTTTTGACTCTGGTCTGAACTTGTACCTAGATTATCCGCCCGAATAGTACGGATTTGAGTGGTCGGATCGGAACCGATCTCGGATATCTAGATAATTAGATATCTGAATATTTGACAGCCCTAATCTGTAGGTCACTACTGTTTGGCTGCGTGTTCGTTTTTCATGTTGCATGCTTTGCTCTCGTGCACGTGCACCTGTGTACCGTATATATATATATATATATAAAACACACAAAATATATACATCAAGAGAGAGAGAGAGAGAGAGAGAGAGAGAGAGTCTCAAGAAAGAGAAAGAAAAGTGTTGTTTTTTAGAGGAAGCGTCCGTGTGGATGTTTGATCTGTGAAGCGGCGGTTTTGCGTCCAATTTTCTATCAGCTATAAAACAAAAGTGACAATAAGAGAACACCGACAATTAAGAGCGTGAATCGTTTCATGGTATATCTTACAACAATTTTCGTCAGACACCACAAATTTGCATTTTAATAATAAATTATTATTGTCATTAATTATTATTTTCGCATGTTCCAAGTGATATTCGAAATTCAGGGACATTTATAAATCGCATCAAGTATTTACAAAACTCTCATTCTCATCGATTTCTACTCGACTTGTGTGGCGTATAAGGGTTGCTCTGAAAGCCCTCCGCGAAAATATACAATTAATTTCGGAAATTGGCCTTACTGTTTCGCAAAATACTCTCCGTTACAATTAAATGCACTTTTCCGATTCGACGAGACTAATGCGTCGAAGCATTTCGCCTCAGACGCCGGATTCTCGAGCGCCGAAGAGAAAAAAAAAAGAGGAAAGAAAAAGGTCCACCGTAGGAAGACGAATATGCTGTTAATCATCGGTGTACCCTCGCTCGCAATTTTTTTCTCCTATGGAAAAGCGCATGCACCATAATACGAACGGCGCACGTTATCGCGCGGGACTTCTCCAGGTTTCCGGAGAGGTTCGCGCGCTTGTGTGCTTTATACATGTGCTGGGGAAACATCTCGGCTGTGATCGAGACAACTAACATCTGGAACATAGACTAGATACCATGGAAGGAAAGAAGCTGCCGTCCGATTCACGCTCGCAGAGCTTTAAGTGCGAATCGAACCACAGCCAGAGAGAGAAAGAGAGAGAGAGAGAGAGAAAAGTAGATAGAAAGAGGAGAGATGGAGACAGATAGATAGATACATAGATAGACAGACAGATAGAGACAGCGAGGAAGCTCGGGGCGAGATCTATAAATGTTGCTCTTGCTTTGATCTGCTGTACCATCGTTGTCCTCGGCCGCGTCCGCGTGTTCCGCGTTCCTGCTGTGCTCCTGCTTGTGGCGCATCTGCTTGCGGTACGCTTTTGATTGGCACATGTCGCAAAGCGTTCTGTTCCCTACGGCATTAGTGCACAACGTGTGTACGGCGGCGGAGCGAGAAAATCGAGGCGCGAGGTGATAAGACGGGGCGGGCGGTAGATAGAGTTTACGAAGGGCTTGCTCGAGACGACGAGCGGGGCCGACATAAGTTGAGGAGCGGAGATGGAGAGGGGGAGTTAATGTAGTTTCTTCACTGCGGCTTTAATTACAACAGTAATGAGATCGGGAAGTTCCTGGCGAAATGCGAATTCACTCGATTTCGCAGTTTCAAGTGAGAGAAATTCAGATACACGAGCGTTTAATGAATGATCGTACCAAAGTCGGCCGGGAAATTCCAGTAGGTGGAGAAAAGGATTCCTAAAGAAAACAGTTTTACGGACTGTCTCGATTAAGAAGACAGGGAGAATTGCGCAAGTAAATTCATTAAAAAGAGAGATAAGAGCGAAGCCATCGGGGCTGGGCTATACTCGAATAGCTACTGATCGTGGCTGCTCATCGCGAGGAGGACGACGTTCGCTACGCCTTGGAACTTACAGAAGTACACGGCTAAGGATTCCGATTCCCGTATCAAGTTCAGCAGATCCTCGCCTTCCAGGGCCTCGATCACTTCGCCCGACGGGTCTTTTTGCGTCATCAGCCACTGCAAGATCTGCTCCTCGTCGTACAAGTCACCTGTCGGAGATACGTTCTTTTCTCTCAGCCTCCGTCTCTGATCCGCAGAAAGAACCTCGCCCATTTCGGGCTTCTCGCGGCCCAATAATAAATCACATGCCGATCGTTAAAGGATATGAGAGACTAAGTAGATAGACTGAAAAATCTTGTATCTATTAATCGCTATGCGCTCAGAATAAGACCCTGGAATCCACGTGAAAACAGGCAAGGTTTCTCGTTCAGTTCAGATTAGCGTACCTGCGTATATGACCGGCTCCTTCGAGCCCATCTTGAAGAATAGTATGGCCGGCAAGGCAAAAACACCGTAATGTTTGGCCAACTGCTTGTCGTCGATCTTCACGAATTTGATGCCGGCGCCGTCGGCCTCGTCGTCAATGTGCTCGATCTCTGCCAATACCCGGCCGCATTGTTTGCAGTCGTTGCTGTCTGAACAGATACGCGACGTATCATATGATGAAGATCACCCGTGTGTGATCTCGCTGCGCGCGCGATACGTGCGGCGAACTCACAGAAAAACACGGCCAGGTAATCCGTCGTTTGTCGAACTTTCTGGAACATCTTATTGTTGATTCGCTCTATGTGATCAGTCAGTTCCATGTTCTCCGGGTTGGTCAGCCAATCGAGGATCTCCTCTTCGTCGTCGATGTCACCGTCGTAGTTGATGCTCTTACCCTTGCGGAAGTAAGTGATGCCGGGTGGATTCCGGTAGCCGTACTTCTTTGCCATCAGCCGATCTTTCATCCTGACGACCTTTATTCCGTACTCCGCCGCCTCGTCATCGATCAGCTCGATGTGCCTGAGCACTCTAGGGCTTTCTGGGTCTTCCTCTTTGTCTGAATGTCGGTTTTTTCCCGTCGAAATAAACGTCGCAGTAATCAAATATAAATGTATCAGTACGAAAAAGTTGAACGTAATCATTAGTATTTCTTAGAGAATTTTTTTATCAGCCGTCCGACTCATTTAGATCAAGAACTGTTTGAAAACTCCAACAAAGAAAAAAGAAGAAAATATCACTGAGTTTCGATCGGAAAATATCATCTTATTGGATTTTAATGCAAAATATGTTGTAAAAGAAGTAGTTGGTAGAAAAGTGTTCCTTACAAAATACGACAGCGAGAAATTCTTTCGTCTCGATGTACTTGAGGAGAGTCTCACGATCGATCTCCTCGATGCTCTCGTCGGTCTTCTGTTTCACCATCCATTCGAGTACTTCGGTTTCGTCGAGGAGATTACCTGAACGCCGTACAGTTCGTCCACTTGTTTTGCTTGTTGATTATTTCCTCAATATTTTGTTAGTTAGACTTGCATCGGTGCCGAAACAAAGAAGCTTTCGCCAAAATATCTCTATAACTCTATAACTCTTTTGTACTTCGAGACAATTGAGAAATATATTTTGAAAAGTGGATTTTTCGGTGTTACAAGCTTCTGTATTTCGAAAGAACGTCTAAATCTATCGTTGATTTATTTCAGCGGGAAACGTTACGTCGATTCAGCGATAATTTCACAAGATTTCACGTTGCTCTGGAATGGCTATTCGTTCCTTTCAGGGTTTCTGTAGGATCGTTTCGTTCTTAAAGTGTGAAGACTTTTACAGAACTGTTACTGTTGCATACTCCTATATTGCTACATGTGCATGCGCTATATTGCATTGCTAAATACGAAATTGTAACATCGATGTCAAGTTTTTGTTACATTTCGAGTTGTACAACTGCAATCAAACGTTCGACCGGGTTTCGACTCTTTCGCATACTTTTCGACAGCGGGGAAAAACTCCACGAAAACTTAACGAAAAATTACCGTTGATCATCACGTTGCTTGCGTTGTATGTAAACGTATGTATGTATACAAAAATGTGGCCTGTATCGTTATTACCGATGGTGGGCGAAGCAAATACAAAGGATATTAGGAAATTTATTTATTGTTATCATATAATATTGATGTTTTATTATCGTACATGTTGTTCTCTTATGCGAATAACACAAGGACTTATTGGCTCGCGCACAAGCGTTCACGAGCGATAATTTGTGACGTCTGATAGTCGTGATCACAGATACAGCGTGACAATGAAATTTTGCGTTGATCGTGAAAGCTTCGAAGCTGTTGGTGGGTGTGACGTGTGGCAATATTTCTGAGATCGACGTTTCGATTTCTCTAGAGAATCTGTCTAGCAGAGAGAGAGAGAGAGAGATATGGGAGATTTTTTTTTACGCTTCTACTTCGTGATACACACGATCTCGTGTATCTCGCCTGTAAATTTGACAATTCCGAGCGTGGCGACCGTTGCACATTTGTATTTTACGCTAAGATTAACAGACATCGAGTGGCGCACAGAATGGCGAATACATAAGTCAGGTAGTGTACGTATAACGATGTACAAATAATTAAATAAATAAGTAAATTAATTAATTAATAAATAATAAATTAATAATAAATAAACAAGTTGGTGCGACGTTCGTTTTCTCTCCTATCGTTATATAACCTATCGTTTTCTCTCGTGCGATCTAATCGCGGACTCTGTCAAAATAGATAAGCATATTATACCTTCGTTTATGTTTCGTGTCAATTCATGCGGCCTGAAATGAGTTAATAGTTTTTTTCTTTTTTATAAAGCGATTATTAATAAAATAATAGTTGCAATGAGAGAAATTCATAAAGTTATAAATTTCACGAAATGTATCGTGAACGGAGAGTAGGATATGTTTGTGTCGGAGCTAGAAAGTTGGGAAAATAGCTCCTGGAATACAAACCGATATGTATACGTGCACGTAGAGAATTTTTCTCGAAGGCATAAATATTCATGAGCCGAAAAAAAGTATAATAATAGTCTTGCTTGGCTAGGATATATTTACAATGTCGAAACAATTTCGACGCAGTGTGGGAAATTTCAAAAGCACTAGACGAACATAGACGCGCTCTATTTAGCTGATTACTGTTATATGGAAAAAAATTTTGGTTTATATAACTAAATAAGCGCTAACTAAAATTAAATCAAACTAAAATTTATCGACGAGAAAATAACGTCTTTATCGCTGTCAAAACACGTGACTCAGTAGGCAAGAAATTATTAACACGACGTTATTACAATGATATTTTATAACATGTAACGTTCCCAAACATGTAGTTTTTAACATTATATATAACGTTGTCAATAATATTTAATTCAAACATTAAAAATAATATTTCCGCACTATGATTTTAATATTTAAGAATATTATATTATCAAGTGACAGTTAAAAAAAATTTATGAAATATTATGCCAAAATGTTTATAAAATCCACATAGAATTAATTCCTCAAAAAATTGATTTAACATTTCTTGCTTGCTATGTACGCGATGACAGCCGCGAATCGAGGTAAGCAACGGCTCGCATCGAGATCGAAATTTCGAAACTGCTAATTGCAGTATTGCGAAAAAGAGGCTTTTTGATACTTTTCGAGATATCTGTTGACATACCTTTTTTAGAGAGCGACAACGCGAACAGCACGATTAAAACTGCACGTCGCCGCCCGGGTCATGGTCACAAATACAACGAATAACCCCGTCTTTATCTGTTCTTATGTGCACCGTAATATAGCAATATTGTACGTTACACCTTAGTCACTACTCGAAACAAAATTTTTTTCCATACGTCATTAGAAATAACGTGCAATTTAAGTTGCAGCGTTGAAAATACACATATCAGTATGAGACATTTTTATCTTTTCGACATTTTCTTGCACAGTACGGTAAATTTATATGTACAATCGGTTTAAAAAATATATCCGATCGAACTATTTGTTTATTGCCATTATACGTTAAATTTCAGCTTCAGTATGAGTATATCCTAGTCGCGCGCAATACAAGTTTAATAAATTATACTATTAGTATGCTATATTATTCGATAAAAATTTTCCGTATGCTTCCGATCTCTTGTTCTAAATTTCGTAAATTGTCTCATCTTTACACAAGTTCCTACGAGTTCCGAAATTTCAAGAATGAGATCGCAATAAAATCGATGACGCTCCCTGTTTCTTCTCAGTTAGTCCGAGAGAATGTTGAAGATTTTTCCGGTGAGAACTGATTCTTGATACGTAATCTAATCAAATTCGACGTTTCAGAAAACATACAAACACGATACAAATCGCGCTGTAAGGGCTCCGCGTGATGATTCTAAGGAATCTCGTTGTAGAGATTGTTATATCATAGGCAGATATTTTTCGCTCGTAGCTTCGCACTAACTGTGGGTCTCGGCTTGTTCACTCGTGAGATCTCTTTGTGTCTTATAAATTTAACATTACAAAGGAAGATGAGTCCTTTCCGGGAGGAGGAACAGGCTTTATTAGAACGAGAGAGAGAGAGAGAGAGAGAGAGGGGGAGGGAGGGAGGGAGGGGATTTAGTTACAAACAATTAATCTCACGTCAAATTAATCGTTAGAGCGCGTACCTCCGCATATAATCTAGGTAGAACACTATAAGATAGACTCGGCAAAAGCGACAACTCTCTGTCATGGCTTCTTTCTCTCTATACTATAAAGTCCTACCTATCCACTGTGCGAATGTTACCGATGAAATGCAACGATATATAGGTGGTATCGCTCGTCGTGACGTTAACATGTTAACGAGTCAAACAAAAAAAAAAACCGATCGTTAAACAATACTCAGCGTTAGCGATGATGGTCGAGAATGTTAAGGACCAAGATTCTTTGTGAGAAATGCATACATTGCGAGAATAATTCCGTTTGTCATGTGACCATCGATAGACATCCCGACACCTGTCGAACGTCGCTCCTTTCGAGTATATACTCTATAATATCGTAATGCACGTAACCCTTCACCTTGAGTTCCCCTAAAGAGTAACATTCCTTAATCGTAGGATGCTTTGTTCCGTTTGAATTTTCCGATTGATACTGTCTCATATGTATATGTATATGCGTATACAGAAACAATTAAAGCCGCTCGCAGGTATTCGTTTATTTTTCTTTTTTTCCCTTTGAACACATCGAAGAAGAAGATTGACGATGTTCGTTTTAGCTTATACAGCGGTGAGGATGACGTTATATATATCATGGTGCTGATGACGATGACGCTAACGATGATGACACGATAATGACGAGAATATTAGTGAGTTTCGGGGACGATCACAGTGAGGTGTAGGCGGCGTGTAGCTGGTGATCGTGTTATGCGACAACGATGACGAATGACGAGATGACGACGTTCCTCGCTTTCTTCTTCCGGATGAGAAGAAAACACGGAAGGTGGAGAGGTCGCTCAGCGTCCGTTGAAACGTCCGCCGGTTTGCCCGAGTTATATATACTCGAGTCGGGCTTTTCTCTCTATTGTCGCGCGGGGTTTTCTCGTCGGCGTCTTTCTTTGGTCGGTCGATACCATCCTGCGAGCGTCCTTTCCCCGTTCCCCGTTAATCGTGGCTCTCAGCTCCACCTCGCGCGTCCAGACGCCGGTGTGTGCCGTGTCAGCCGTTTAGATCTTCATGAGATAAGGAATTCCAGCCACAACTGCAACAGCCCACAATTCCCGACCCAACTCTCAGTGAGAGACAGAGACAAATTATCCTCGCGGCATTTCCGCTTGATCGCGCTATTTACGTATTAGAAGATACATATTCCTGCTATTCGTCCTCTTCGAACGACGACGGCCGTTTGCTCGAAGTTTTGCATGCATGATCTGAATTCGAAGCTGTCATCTCAGAGAGAGAGAAAGAGAGAGAGAGAGAGAGAGAGAGACTTGGCTGTTTCGGCAAAGCTCCTGACAAAGCTGGACTCGTGAAGAGGGAGGGAGTTCTTATTAAAAACGTCAGGACGGAGCCAGGCTGATTTACGAATTATCCAAGTGATCTCTCCAGGTCTTCGCTGAAGCGAAGATCCCGTACGAAGGAGCGATCTTCGTTTCATCTCGGAGAGAAAGACGGACGGATATGACATTATATGCGGATAAAAAGACGCCCCCTGTCGCTCTCCCAAGCATGTTCTTCGTAATTCGTGAATAACCGCAGCCCCGTCCATCGGCGCGTCACTACATGACAAGGAATTGTACTCTATGACCAATCGACTGAGCTGTTGCTGATCATCATCATCATCATCATCCTCATCATCATCATCATCATCATCATAGTCATCATCGTCCGACTAAGTAGCTCGACAAGTTAAGAAATTGATTGGTGTTCAACAAAAAAGAGAGAGAGAGAGAGAGAGAGATCGTCGGTAGCTAACGATTACGGTAGTCAGTCCGGGGGGTCT